TGCTGTCCCTACAGTGACCAGAGGTGCTGTGTGCAGTGCTTGCGCTCAGAAGGCTGTGCTGTCCCTCTACTGCTGAGGGCTGCTGTGATGCTGCCTGACCCTGAGGAGAACGTGTGCCCTCATCAGGATGTGGCATTCCACCTGGATCCTCACCATCAGCCGTGGTGGAGTGTGACCATGGAACATTGTGTCTCCCACTTAGTTGTTGTTGGTGATGGTGGTTTGGGTTAGTTTGTTTTCTTGTCTCTCTATGGCACCAGGGATGGGACCCAGGGCCGCCCAGGGCCGCCTGCATGCTCTGCCTGTGTGCCACGCTCCCAGTGCTGACTGCTCCTTGCACACTGAAGGTCTGGTGGGGATGGCCTCTCGTGCTGAGCCTCCTGGGTGTGTTTCTGTCGGCTTCATCTCCTGTACTCTTCGCTTCCTAAGGTGGTGGTTGGTTACTCGGTTTGTAGACATCCTGAGTGTCAGACTGTCACATGAATAGTGGCTTCTAGTATTAAAAAGGGTCCGCTGCTGCTCCTCCTGCGTGCCTTGCTGGAGGCTTGTCCGTCTTTTCATCTTCAGCCTGTCAGTGCCACGTATCTGAGTGGGCTCCTTGGAGGCAGCATGTGCTGGGTCCACTCTGTGAGCCCAAGGAGAAGCCCTTTCATGTCACAGGTGAGTCAAGCCTATTTCACACACACACACACACACACGCACTTCAGTATCGATATGTGTGGATACACACACCTATGTACACACATATGTAGACGCACACACACCTATTTTTAAAAACTTTCTGATTCAGTAGTGGGGATTGAACAGGGGCTTAGGCATGCCAGGCAAGCCCCCGAGTACTGACTGCACTCCAGCCCCCAGGCGGCTCGTGTTTATTGATATAACTGGCAGGTGTACTTGCAACCCTGTATTTTATAATCATATATACTTTGCTACATTTTCTGTTTCTTTCTCTATGAGATGCATATTCTTTACTCTTTCATTGAAATTTAAAAATTTTGGGTGTATTTTCTAGTGATTATTTGTATTTAAGCCTGTCTGGAGTAGCCTCTCTATTTTTCATCCTTGTGGGTAGACCTTCTGGGGTCAGCTTAGGTCCGTGCTTCTGCCTCTGCCAGCTGACCCCAAGGCCTGAGCAGGGTGTGGGCCGACAGCGCGAGGGAACACGCACACTGGGGTTTGGTGGTGTTTCTCTTGGCGCCAGAGTCCTGTCAGGTTTCAGCACTCCTTATCATCCAGCTTGGCCAAGGGTAGGCCTGGGTGCCGAACTCACTTCCCCCCTGTCTTTTTTCATGTCCTTTTTGTAAGGACTGTGGGGAGGTCAGCAAGCTGGGCAGCTGCCCATGTCCTCCCCACCTCCTGGGAGGCAGGGTCTGCCTATGCCAAGGATTTAATGCAGGTGGTTCAGAGTTCAGCATTTTTAATTTCAATCCTTAAGTATTTCCTTAAGAGCATATTAGAAAATGGTAAAACTAGCACTTTAGACCCATGATATATGGTTTCTCTGTTGAATAAATCCATTAAGTGCAACAAGTAATTATTCATGTTATGTAATATATTTGTATAAAATAAATAATGCTATAGATATTAAACAACATTGGTGAAAACCAAATTTGGCAAAGACGGTGGTTTGCGAGCAATTAGATATTGGGGTGGCACCAGCAAACTGCACCTGAGAAGTGTCCAGCAGCAGACCTCCAGGGTGACCACCGCTGCTCCCTAGGGGGACATTGGCACTGGACCATGAGGGGACTGGGTAACTGTTTACAGAGGTCCTCCTCCCTCTGGAATGCTGTGTCCATCAAAACTTCGTGACCCTGGAAACACATCAAGTCTGGGACACTGGGTGGAATACTGTTTTCATTAGCATTGGAAGATTACTCTTGTAATTACTTTCTTCACTTTATGTGGAAGCAAAAACCAAAGACCGTCTTTCCCCAAGGTTACCCATTATGGACTGTGTGTGCAGATTTTGAAATCAATAAAATTAATTTGCTCTTCAGTGCCAGTAAGACAGAGAGTTATTCACATGTGAATTATTCATATTGTGTTAAGAAGTACATAACTTGATTCTAAACAAAATGTGTTGAAGCATATAACTAGTTTCTTGAACAAAATTTATAGGTTTTGCACATTTTCAATAAACCAGTCACAATAGTTTATTATAAGAGTTTCGACCAAAATTGTTTAAAATGACTATGTTAAATCTATGAGGCTAAGTAACCATCAGACAATGCTAGAAATAATAAGGTTAAATGTAATTGATAGTTGTTATTCCTGAGCAGATAAAGTTTAAAGTCATCTCCTCAAATGTCCTATAAAGTTTTCCGGCTCCACAGGGGTCTTTATTTGGAGCTGCAGTTTTCTGAAAGCAAATTCAATTAGTGCTGTGTGCTTTATGAGGCCATCTCAAGTGAAGTTCTGTTTGTTTCAGAAACGGGCATGCCAGAGGTCAGAAGCCAGCGGGCAGGAGCCTGGCTGCCACCAGGAGAGCACATGCACCCTGGCGTCCTGGAGCACAGAGGACCAGGGGCCTCAATCAAGAGGTTGCCCCTCTGCACTGTGGCCAGAAGGTGCCCAGGGCAGACCATGCTCAGTGGTATGTTCCCATGACCCAACCAGTTTTGAACCCATTTAAATATTTTAATAAAAATTATGAATAATCATTGTTCTGATCCATTTGTGCCTGTGATTTGTTAAATAGATTTCTCAAAATGGTGGAAGAAGCTCAGCCCAGCCTTGCCCAAGATGTATCGCGGGGGAATCTGTAAGTTCACTAACCTCCTGTGACATAAGAGATAGACTTCTTAAATATTAGATCCATAAAACAAAGTAAAAACTGCAGCCGCAGGTCTGAGGAATGAGGGAGGTAAATAAAGGTAATGGTGGATTTGAGCTTTTCTTAGCATTCTATTGGGGAACAAGCTGATTTGTTTCCAGCTTCAGCTCAGAGGTAGAAATTACAAATTCATTTAAAATTCTTCCTAAATAGCAGTTTGTAGGAAGGGAAGAGCTACTCTAATTGGCTGAAATAGAGAGTCCTATAATGACATCTTCAAGAACATGCCTGACCATATTATTTACTGCCCAAATTAGGAATCAACGTTATTCTTTTTCTTTTCTTTTTAAGTTTTCCTTGCGTGTTTCTATAAACTTTACATAAATCATATATTTCAGAAGGGAACACAGTGTTCACACCATAAATTTAAAGTAAAGGGAGGTCAAAAATTGCCAGATTCAATTCTCAGTCTCCTCTATGGGGCAGAATATCATAAAGTATATATTAGCATAATAATACCTTTGTTATTAATTTTGAACTTACTCTAAGAACAAGTTAATATGTTTTTGATAACCTCTATAATTCTTGGGTTTTTTTATTTTAAGTCTGAAATCTTAATATTGTAATAAAATAGAATCGTATTTAAATTCCACACAGAAATCAGGAATTTGTGTGTGTGTGTGTGTGTGTGTGTGTGTATTTCTGAGATTGCCCCCTAAAGATCTTCAGAGAAGTGCATTACTCTGTTTTTGGTATGTGAGAGAGTAAGACTGTGAGTTATGGAGATTTAGTTGATATGTTGCAGGCTGTTTTACAGAGGCACATTGATGCTGTTTAAATGAAGACCTAACACCATGACAGCTGTCATTCAAGTGAACCTCTGATTATGCTAAGTCATTAGACAAATACCAAAACAAAGTTTAATGTAGAATTCTTTCCTTCAAGGTGTACTTTTGTTTCTTTTTGTGCTTTTTGGGAAAATTTTCATGTTATATTGCATAATTCTGAATTGTGGTGAAATTGAACATCTAGCAATTTGAATTTAGCATTTAGGTTGATTCATATGGCTGCCAAGTATACCCTGGAATACAAATAAATACAAAGCAGGACCCCATTATAGCTCAATTACCTGTGTGCTAGTGACTGACTGGTACCCTTCCTTGTTGCCCCATTTCCATGGACTGTATCTTTCAAATCCCCCCATCTGTTAGAGACGAACACTTGGAATGCAGTGTGGATTCCTAATGCTCTCAGAGGTTGTATTCTGGCATGAATGGCTCAAAGAAAAAAATTTAGCTCAAGCAACTGATTGGATCATTTTGGCTGATATCCTGTTAGAACAACAGTACCTGTTTGATTAGGGTTTTTCCTTCCTTTGTAATTCCCCGAGCTTGCCTCTCTGTTAGTTTCATAGGAAATGAGTCTATGAGCAGAAAAACTACATTGATATGTAAATATCATTTTTGGTTAATGCTGAATATTCTTTTCATCTAAATTTCAGAAACTGACTTTAAAAAATCAGTTTCCTTTTATTTGTAGTTATTCTCAATAAAATTTCACCCAGGCTCAGGCGTTTTAATATTTACACCCACTATTTCTAAAAGTCTTATGTAAATAAAGATTGAAATGTGGGTTTGAAAAGTCACACCTCTTGATATTTGAACAGACTATAGCTGCGTATATCTTCTTTTTCTAATAATACGGCTAGTTTCTCTCCTAAGCTTTTAAAATAATAAGACACTATTTTTATATTCTAAAACATCAAAGGTTCAGTGTTAAATAAAAAGCAAATAGTATTTTTAGAAATGCAAGATCCCAGGGAGCAGTACTTAACAATAAGTCACCAATGGGCAGCAATTCCAAATTTCAGAAGACTTCATCAACCTCAGGCTCCCAGCATAGTCACTTGCCCACTTGCTGTGGGCTTGTCCCCCTCCTGGCCTTAGTTCCCGAGGTGACTCAGAGCAGCTGCTGTGGATCAAAGAGCAGCCAAGGTTTTGCCAGTGGTGGTCGGAGGACTTCCTATCAGGACGCTGGCCTGTGAGTCTCAGCTTATTTGGGGAGGCTTCCTGAAAGCTCCTTGGCACCCTGACCCTCTGGTCTTCCTGACCTTACTGGGACCTCAGTGATCTGATGGGTTCTGCTCAGATTCTCCGTATCACTGTCTTGCCTTGGTGCCTGAGCTCCTGCGGCCCTTCTGTTCTTTATTTCTTATCATTGAGTTATTTCTCACATGAAAGGACTTTTTCTGGAGACCTTACAAACTCATTTTCTAACTTTGCATTTCTCTCTCTTCTGTTTCCAGTCTAGCTCACTGTTACACTGTTTTATTTCAGGTTTTGCTGTCTTGCACTAATTGCTATCAAGGTTCAACTCAGGGTATGCAATATTTAGGAGCATCTCCTCTCAGCCCGGCAGCACCTTGCTCATGTTCTGATGATCAGAGTGATGGCGGGTGCCCTGCCCGGTGCCTGGCTGCCTGCTCTCACAGGCTGCGCTGCCTTGGCTGCACATGCAGAGGGTGTAAGTGAGGCCCTGACCTTCCTTCACAAATGGCCCCAGAGCAGGTGTTGCCAGGCACCAGGCCTCCTCTCTGGGATCAGCCTGGCTCTGGAAATTAGGCCGTTCTCTGCAAATTCAGACCAATTAAACAAAACCCAACCAAACTGCCAAAGCCTTCCAGAATAATCAGACGAGCCTCGAGGAGGAGAGGGGGGCCTTACGAGGAAGAAGGCCAGGAGAAAGAGATTGGACAAGTGGAGAGGGGAGGTGATGCTCGCTCAGCACCGTGTTTCCAGGGGGCCTCTGGTCTCTGGTGCTCCACAGCGCCTCAGGGCTGGCCTCCTTTGGGGTGCACCCTCAGACTTTATTAGTCAGCTGCTATTTTTTGTCAGCTGTGTTCTCCATTTTATTGTCCTTCCCCCTTTTCCCTGCCCAATTCTGTATTGTGGGGACCATCTAGCCTCTGAATTCTTCTAAAAATTCTGAAGCAAGGCAGTTCTCCCTCTCCCTCTCCCTCTCCCTAGTCCCCTCAGCCCTCCCTCCAGTACCCTGGCTCCTGTAGGGAGTACTGCAGTGGTCCCCTCTTACTGGTGCCTGGTCACAGAGCCCTGTGGTCCCACTGCCTCCTCCCTTCTCCTCCCCACCACCAGGACGTGGGGCCCTCCTCTTGTGGTGAAGCATTGGTTGGCTCACCTTCCCGTGTGGCTTCTCATCAGCTCCAGCACTTGTGGGATCTAGTTCTGGGCTAGAAATAGAATTTCCTCTGTTGGAAATATCTAGGTGGGCCCCTCTTTTCAGACTGAACCGTACCTGCCTGGGCGAGTCCTAATGAACTGGCAGATTCTCCTGGGGTAAAGAAGAGCTGTGGGCCTGTGGGCCTTGTTATCCCTCCTCGGGGCTCAGGTCCTTGGTGCAGCAGTTCAGCATTGGGCAGGTGCAGGTAGAGCCTAGCCCAGTTACGTGCCGTGTAGACAAGGCTATAGCAGGCCACCCTGTGCTCTGCCTGGGTTCCTTCACTGTCTTGTATCTGGGTTAGGGGTATAATACTGGCGTGAATTGTCATATAAAAGCCAGCACTCGAAGCCTGATGCTTCCAGGCATCGTGGACCTCCCTGCCTCTGCCCAGCCTATTCATGAATGTTATCGAGCTTTTTCCTTTTTCCTTCTCATTTAAGTGCAAATACTAAGGGCTCTGTACTTTTAACTTTCAGTATCTGACACTGAAATCCATTGCTGACAACTGTGTGTGTGTGT